GATTACAGTTCCGAGCTGCCTTGTTTCTTGGCTGCAAAGGAAAATAAGATTTTTTTTTTCCTCCGAGACAAAGAGTGAATTTGATAGTTTGTTTTGGTTCTGGTGACATCATTCTTTTTTGTCAGCACCATCTCCCAGTAATTGACTCTGATTGGAGGAAGGACTAGAGCAGGTAACTGTCTTTTGAAACTTTATCCTATCATCTCCCTCTATTTCAGTGCCCTAAACAAAAAACAAGGTCAGTGAGAGACTATTTCATATATGTTGTCCAACCTTTGACCAAAACCCCTGCATTTTCCGTGATGTTTACATGTAAGTCCTACTGCAATGACATCAGAGCTTCCCAATACCCATTTTAGCACCAATTAAAGTGGCAATTCTCAGAGAACCATTTATCTTTATACTGTAGGAGTCTGAGCAGTGCTGTTATTACTTTTGAGGGGGAATTGTGCAGGCTCCTTGTCAATTGGTTTAGGTTGCCTAAATGAAGCCAAATTGCTCTTGCCATCCCCAGCTGCTGCTGCTGCCTGTGTGTTCCACCTTCCCCACATTCACATTAATCCATCAGCCAAGAGCAAAACAACCTTCCCTCGGTGCACTCCTGCAAACAGGGTAGGAAAACACCACAAAAGGGAAAAAAAAAAACCACACATCACTTGCAGCATTTTTACATGTAATAGTAACAGTCTCTTGGTGCCATCATCAGCCATGGCATTTCATTCACACAGAACACTTGTGGGCACATCACATATGCTTTTCCATTCAATGTATTTTTAAATGTTTCCCAGGCAACTGTTTCAATACAATATGCCTCCTTGGCAACCTGGTACCCGCAAATGCCATGCTAGTCTCCCTAGTCCTCTTTTTAGGTCTTCCCATCTTGGCACATAAATGTCACAAGGCTGGGTTTTCCATCTCCAGCCACACAGGTGCTGATCTGTCCTTGCATTTGGAAAGGCTGAATTGAAGAGATGAGTCGAGCACTGGGTGTTGCACGTTGGCAAATTCAGCTTTGGTGTGCTACCAGAGGGAGCAGGTCTCAAAGGCAGTGACTTTTTGTGGGGAAGAGAATGTCTCCTGCAACTAAAATTAAGGAGAGCCCACAAAACCGTCTCCACTCAACTGACTTTCTCTGGAAGCAGCAATGAGCCTGCACTTCTCAAACTGAAATGCACGTCATCTTTATTCTCCTGACTAAGCCAGTCTCACCCAGCTCTCCTCATTTTGTGGTTTCACTGTAACACATCACATTAATGAAAAGAGTCAGACTTTCCCATTTCACCACAGCCAGTGATTAGCACTGGACTGAGCGGGTCAGCTTGCTGAGTTACTCTTTCCAGGGCTGCATTTGCTGCCACTGGCTATTTAGAGGACACATTGTGACATTAGAGTGGAGCATTTCAGCTGTGGGACATTTGCTGCAGCAGCTTTCCCTGCTGCTCTGCTCTGCACACTGTGGTCTCTTTGGGGACATTGTCCTTTATTACATTTAGCAGAATGGCCATGCTCATCCTTGAGTGAAGTCACAGACTATTTGACAAGGACAAAAAATTATCAACGTGTACTCCCAAGCTAAGCATTGATTAGATAAAATAATTAAAATATAATAATATTTCAATGGTCTAGCAAGGAACAATTTCTTCTGAACATTTTTATCTGATACTGGAGCTATCACTACAGAAGAAATGGTATTTCAGAAGGTCTAAAACTATCAGCAAGCATCAGTCGTCATAAAAAAAGAAGTTTTAATAAAAACTGTATGTGCTTCAGCCTCAAAGTGGCACATTAAAAAAAATAATAGTTGCTGCATGCAATGACATCATGCTCTGAGAGAAACCCAGCAGAAACTGTGACATCTCTTCTTCATTGATTACTCCATAACAACAGCTGAAAATTACAATTTTTCCAGGCTATAAAATGCCTAGCACTCCAAATTCTACACCGGCAGCAAAAATCTCCTCCCTGTCTGTGAGCTGTTGTATCTGTAATAGAGACCCTGCATTACCAAGCTTTCTAATTCTTCCCAAATGCAGAAGCTCTCATTCAATGCTGCAGCTGTTGGGGAGGAAATCAGAAATAGCAGAAGGCGGATTAGTTGATAATGTACCAGTTCTTCCCCAGCAAATGCTGGCACCTGCGTTTTACACTCTCCTCTTTCCCTCAGCCCAGGAAAAGATCACTTGGTTTGTTTGGCAGGCAATTTATAGGCTTTAGTGATTGTGGAACTGCAAAAGGATTAGAATTTGTTATAATAGCCCCTTCTTCCTGAGAGCAAAAGTTAAAACTGAGGCCCACGTTACAGCAGGAATCAGGGACCATGTAAGTAAAGATTAAGCGTGTGCAGCTTGATGAGACTCAACGGGGAAGAGATAACTACACATGCTGGCACTCCATTTACAAGGAAATCCCTGCAGATAATCTGTAGGAGCATTCTGGCTTCCACAAGCTCAAATCCCTTGACCACTGGCTCAAATCCAGTCAAGGCTGATTATGATAAAGACTACTCTCTGCATTTCTAGGAGAACTTTTTCCCTAAGACCACTAAACAGTCTAATTATTAAATTAGCAAGACCCAAAATCAAGCAAGAAGTAATAGGATTTCCATGCAGTGGAGGAAACAGAAGATAAGGTCTTGTGCAAAGGGGCAAGCCCAAGAACAGGTCCTATTCTACACTTTGACTTCCTATTCTTGGTACATTATTCATTCTGGTAAGATGTAGATGAATAATACTAAATGCCCTTAATGGACAAAGATTTCTAGTTTGAAACCTGCAGGTAGTTAGAGAAGGAGACAGAGCAAGGATGAAAACACTCATGACATGGTTAGAGTGGGTATCATTAAACAGATAACAATCAAAAAAAACATAGAATTTTCAGTTAAATCTACAAAATCCAAACCCACCTACAATCTACAGTTGCTACAGAAGCAAGGTTTTCTCCTTTTGTTTTTTACAAGCAGAAGCTGCAATAATATTTTTCCCTATTCTTTTTATTATATTCTTTCATTTGTGGCCCTTACTGCACAATAACCAATTTTTATGTTCCCCCATAATAAAGCTTTTGGAAATGCTGTAAGTGCTCGCAGCACCACACAGCAACACCTCCAGCATGAAGAACAGGCTGCACTCCTGATGGCTGCTCTGGGAGAAGTCATATCTAACAACATAAATCCATGGGTACAACACACGGTTTAGCAGCAGAGGATTGTCCAAGGAGTATCCAAGGGCTCATAAAACATAAAACACTAACTCAAACATCACAGGAATAAAAGAAACCCTGTGGCATCACTGATCGCTAGCACAGATACACCCAGGAGTATGTTCAGAGCGCTTTCACAGCCCCCCGGATTTTGTTAAATCCCTGGTTTTGCATAGTCTGCTGCCTCCGTGTGGTGACAGTCAGCGCTGGGCCACGATTCCCAGTGATGCTGAGTAAAATCCCCCATGGAACACTTCTTCAGCTGGCAGAAATCAGATTTCCACCCCTCCTCTTTTCCCTCCACTTCCACGGCCAAACCCCTCTTCAGTTCACACTTCTGCTTTATTTACACCCCCTTTCTCCTGCTGTTCTTTGCTCTGTCTCTGCTGCCACCACCACCTGTCCACAGCAGCCCAAACCATTCAGATGCAGATTCACCCTTTGCCTCTGTTCCACTTATCTTGTTCCACCTGCAGCTTTTGGGGGAACACCTTTCCGACAAAGGAGGGCAAATTTCCTTGGATCTCCCTTCACCACACTGGGAAACAGCTTCTAAATGGCAACAAAAATGACTGAACTCTGTGGCTGTAGCTTGGGTGTTCCCTGAGCACTGCAGTGGCTGTTAACAGATATTAATGTGAGAAAAGGTTGGTCTTTGTGACGGGGGTTGACTTTTTCACTAGTTTCTTTCTTCCTGGATTTTATTCTCGTTTTACTCTGCCCATCACACAGCTGAAATGCTGGCCCTCTAGTGTGACAATTTTTTATTATTTTTGATTTTCAGCTGGGCTATCTATCGTATAAACCCACACAGATCCCAGGAGCAGCCAAACACTGCACTTCCAAGATTTTTATCCACAAAAGGAAACCTATTAATGCTGCTTTAAAGGTAAGAAATCAGCTATTACACAGAGTTAAAGGCATTATGGTCTCACAGAAACACCAAGTACCTGAAGGGAAGGTGAAGGCTGGGCAGAGCCTCCCAGATCTCTGCACAGACAGAATCATCCCCAGCTGAAACACCTCTGGATGGGGCTGAATGGAAGAAGAATGTGGATTTGGAGTCATGTTTTACCAATAATAAATTGGTTTCATGCAGAGTCCTGTGTGATGGTGCTCCCTCATGAACTTCTGTTACCAAACTGGATTTATTTCCTTGTACAGTTATTTTTTGCATCAATTGTTAATAGTTTAAACAGCAGAGTTACTTTCTGATCCGTTCATGTACTGTTGGAGGATGAAGTGTCTGTCACCATTCCTCTGGGGTCTGTTTTTGAGATGGCTGCAGGCTGGGGAGTGTTTAAACCCTCTCTAGCAGGGCGACATTCTGGCCAAAAACGTCAAATCGCATCACTTCAGATTCTTCTCTAAAAGCGAAATTAGGTCAGAGGTGCGCTCCCAAACCATGTTATTTTTTGGAAGAACAGCCTTTGGGTTTGGCCCCGCGCCGCAGCTCCAGACCCAGGGCGGGACCGGCCAGGCCCGACCCGCCGCCATCTTGTCCCCCTCAGCCACGGTGACCACCCAGCATTGCCCCTGCCCCTGCCCTTCCTAACACACCAAAACCCTATAAAAACATAACGTTTGATGGGTAAAAGCAACACAAAAACGGTCTGTTTTCCAGACAGACCAGCCCCCGGCGGCTGAGGCGTGCAGGGGCTGCGGAACGCCGAGCTCCCCTCAGGGCGCCCTCACGACCGCTCGCCCTCTCCCACCGCCCCCGCGCCGTGAGGGCGGCTCTGAGGGCGGAGAGTCACAGCCCCGGCAGCGCGCCCGGGGCAGGAGGAGGAGGAGGAGGAAAAGCAGTAAGAGGAGGAGGAAGAGAAGGAGGAGGAGGAAGCCCCGGCCGCCCTCTCTCCCCGCCCTCCCGCTGCCGCCAGCGCCGTCCCCCGGCGAGGCGCGGGGAGCCTCGGCCATGTGTGAGGAAGGAGCCGCCAAGCTGCGCCTGAAGCCCCGGACGGCGCCGTCCGCCCGCGGCCGGGAGCGCAGCCCTGGCCCCCAGTCCCCGCCGCGGCCCCAGTGAGTCGGGACCGGGGGGATCGGATCGGTCCTGGGGGACCCCATCGGCCCCGGGGGGACCGAATCGGCTCCGGGGGATCGGATCGGATCTGCTCTGGAGGCCAGGGTGCACCGCCCCGGCGACTCGCGGTGTTTAGCGGTCAGATCTGTGTCTGTTAAAGGTTATTTCATAAAACACCGCCCATAGCGCCTTTAAGAAATAGAGATAAAACTGCAGGATGGAGCACAGCGTGCCCCACGCCTTCCGCACGTTCCTCTGCACAGAACAGCACTGGCGGGGACAGGCCCTGAGAAAAGTCAATGTATGAAAACTCAGTTTTCTTTCTCCCAGAATACCCCTCACAGGAGCGCAGAATATTCCTGGTTTTCCCAGCCCTGGAGATCGGAAGGCAGCGAGTGGCTCGGTTTGTGTTCGAGCCCGGGAGCTCAGCCGAGTCCCTTCCACCATGGGCCGGGAGAGGTTGATCGCTCTGCTCTTTTAGCATGTGTTGTTTCCAATTTCTTCCCTGTGCAGCTTCATTCTTGGACAGCGACCCAAGAAAACACATCAGGAAGAATGCTGGAAATACCACTGTGATATTAACAATCCATCCTTCCCTTGGAATTGTCTTTATACAACATTACCTTTTAGCGCTTATAGTTCCTAGGATCAATGAAATCAAGTTTGGGAAGATAATCAGTAATTTCAAATGGCAGTGTGGGAATGTCCAGACATACATGGGAGCCGATGCAATTGCCACCCTCAGTGCAAACACTTCCATGATTTCTGTGCTCAGCAGGTGTTGAGTTTGGTATTTGAGAAGATAAAAAGGTGGCTGTACTTAACTGTTTCACTTGGAAGTGAAGATAGTGATAGATACCTACTGCTCATTTGTTACAAGCAGAAAGGAAAGCATTTAGACATTCTTTTTTTGCTAGCTGTACAAATTATATAAGTCATATAAAACTGCAAAAAATAGTTTGCAGGCTCAATAATGTCTTTGTGTTCCAGAAAAAAGAGGCAAACTGGTATCAGTGTTAGGAGTATTTTCTTTATTCTCTCCCACCTTCAAACTATTGGACTGTGTCTTTACAGGGCATCGACTGACAGATGTTCCTGGTTTGAAAAGGAAGAATTAAATGAGTGTGAAAAAACCTGGCTTTTGCTGCTGAAAGACATCAGTCAAGATTCACAGTGCCCAAACTGGGACACAGTGCCCAGCTTTCCAGAGTTCTTGGAAAAGGTAGCGTGCTGTATCCTTGTTTTTGCACTTTGTGAGCTGCTCCCAATAGTGACAGCCTGCTTAATGGGAAACAACCTGAAATAGCTTTTAGAGATGTGGGGTTTCAGCTCTTTAATCTCTGTGTGCAGTGCTGTGGCTGGGCATGGTGTGGCAGGGAATATAAGGACAGCTACCAGAGGCTTTTTTTGCAGTACAGCAAATTCTTTCCAACGTTTTGCTGGGAAGAGGGAGCCTGTGTTGGATGCTGATTGCCATAAACACCAGCATCTCCCTGAGGAATGAAACTGGACAAGGCAAGCTGTAATGGAGGGGTTAATTGCACAGAACCCACCCTGACATCACTCCAGTGGCATTAGGCAAGATCACAACATAAAGATCAGTCTTTATAAAGTACTTTTTTCCCCCTGAGCAGCAGCAGGTTGTTGTTTTCATCCTTAGTCTCTCTGGAACATGAGTACCCATTGCATCCATTTAGAAATGGTGAGGGAAGATCCATTTTCCATCAGCTCCAGGAAGCTCCTGGAGGAGGGACATAAGTAAAATGTTCTTTTCTTTCCTGTAGTTCAGCTTTCTCAGTATTTGCAGTGTGTTCTCAAAGCCTGGGTTTAGGTATTGATTGAGCTACATTTGCTTAAGACATTCTCTGTGTGTGTGTGTGTTGTAGAAACAACAGGAAAAGAGTCCAGAACACCAGGAGGTCTTTACAGTTGGAACAAAAGACTTTCAGTGGGTATCATTCCCATCTTTTCACAAAGAAAAATGTCTGAACCCCAAGGATCTGAGCTCCCAGCAGCCAACACCGAGCCAGAGCAATGAATTTCATAAAGGACAGGGCCAAGCAGATAAACTGAAGAGTTTATCATCCACAGCTGAGAAAACCTGCAGGGGAACCAGTACAGAGCAAGCCAAAACTGCATCTGGAGCAGACACAAAAGGTGTTGCAGAGCTGGATGTGAGTCCCAAGCCTTGGGACCTCCCTGGGCACAGCAGCTCAGCACTGGCACGAAGCCCTGCAGAGGCTCTGGGCCCTCAGCAGCTCCACACAGGGACTGTACAGAGCAGCAGGGCAGACAGGAGAGAAAAGGGTGAGGAAAAGCCTCGAATCCAAACACATCAGGGGGAGCTTCCAGTGGGAGAGGCCACGGGGCTGCCTGCAGAGAAGCCTCAGCTGGGGAGCACTCCTGGGGCTGAGAGCCACGAGGAGAAGGTGGAAAACCAGAGTGAAGCAGCTTCAGCTCTTGACAGTTGTCCGATGTGTCTGATGCAGTTTAGTGGAAGGTAAGTTTGTGTTTTGGTATTTTTTCATCACTTTCCCATAAATGAACCACAGCAGGTTCTGGATGCATCCTTTATGTAAAGAATAACAAAAGCAGACAAAACTTCTACTGTAAGGTCCTTTTTAGCTGTCAGATTTACATACTTTAATCCCATTTACAAGTTGAGTATCTGCTCTACAATAAGAAATGTTAACACAATTTCATAGTACTTAGGCTGTCAGAGTGGCTGAAAATGTGCTTTTCCACAGGTCCTCTAACCCTGCAAGCTCTGTTGGGGGCCACTTCCCCTGTTGTTGGGAGGCTAAGCAGGGAAACAAAGGAGTGGCTACTTTAATATTTACAATAATTTTGGTTCCTCTGTCAAGAGACTTTGACAGAAAGGCTTAAAATGCATCAGGTCTGTGCTGCTGAGCTGCAGTGTGAGCAGCAGTAACAGCAAGGGTGGGAGGTTTTGGCAGAGGATTTGGGCACAGGTCTGACTGCCCCACGAAGGTACCAGAACACCTCTGGGAGGAAGCAGAGAACAGGCAGCAGAGAGGTGTGACTGTTGCTGTGTTTGCAGACTCTCCCAGCTGGACATCGATGGGCACCTGGCCAGGTGCTTGTCTGAAAGTGCAGATGATGTCATGTGGTAAATCCAGAGGAGGGGAGAGCACAGGAACCAGGCCAAGGATGAAGCTTCCTCAGAGGAAAAGGAAAAATGTGTCAAGGAAACACATCCTTGTCTCTGACTTAAAGCAGCAACGCAACAGAAGGATAAGTGGCACCTGCCTGTTTGGTTTTGTTTTATTTTAAAGCCTCTCAAATGCATGTAAAGTAATTCCAGTTCTGAAAATGGTGCTCTGGGATGTCCCAGAGACCCCCAGGGAAATCAGGCTTGGTACTCCTGAAGAAATGCACTACTGGAAATCCCTCAAGCTTTGTCTGGTGCAGAGTTCTGAATCTCTCAGGACAGAAGAAAGCAGCTGAACAAAAGACAACTGTTACTTACCCTATTACTTTTTTTTTTTTTCCTAAACAGATAGTCTATGAAAATAAACTCAGTTAAAAAGTACTTTGATTTGGCTTTCTTTGTTTTAATACCAAAGTATAATTGTACAATTGATCCTGGGAGTGTAGCTATTTAACAGAAAACACAGCCCAGACCAAGTAAAGGGTGTGGGGGTTTTATGTTTCTGAAGGAGCCCAGCTAAATTCAAAACCTTCCAGTGCAGGTTTCTAAGTCACTATCAGTGTTAAGCAGGTGATTAATGTGACTGGGCTAATTAGGCTGCAGTGTCACAATGCAGAGCTGCAAAGTGAGAGTTAACCCAGCCAAAATTTTGAGCTGATTTTGGTTCCAGCTGCACACAGCCCCCAGCAAGGGCTCAGAGCAGGGAACAGCCAGAGCTGCTGGGGCTGGGAGGGCTCCGGAGCTCAGTGCTCCTTGGGCACTTCTCAAGAAGCAGGGCAACACTTGCTAAGCCTGGCAGTGACAATAAATGACATTTAGTGACAGCTCAGTAACTCCAAACCAAGGGATGAGATCACCAAGCTGCTCTGGTTTATTTCCCTGTGCCCTGGACCCCAAAACCTGCAGCTGAGCTGGGATCCAGAATTAACAGAGTACAGTACAGAAATACAGGGAGGCTCCTGGAGGTTTAATTGACAGTGGGGTCTGTTGCAGAGGTTGGACACAGCCCGTTTCACTGATAAATAATAACAGTCTATTAACTTTTTCATTAAAGTCTTTAATAGATGTGCAAGAATATAAATGATCTCAGCTGTTATGGATTAGTATACCATCTTCTGCACAATTAAAACTGGTCAGCAAAGATCCCAACTAATTAATTATACAAAACTACAAGAACATATTTACTGTTTTACAATCATTAAATTAGCTAGAATTTTCATTTACTATTTCAAATAAGACAACTATATATCATTACCAGATCCATTTGTAATATATTAGGATTTTTTTTTCCAAACCACACATTTAATTACATCCTTCATTTTCTTTTATTTATAAAACAAGTACTTTATATAAAAAATTTCCCCTTCATCATGAACAGAACATTATTCAAACACTTGCACATGAGCAACCAAACTTGTACCCAGCAAACTATTTGGCAACACAGCAACATTGTAAATGCCTGTAAATTCTTAAATAAAAATCAAATAGTCTTTACAATGTTTGATTAGCAAAATGTGTCTTTCTATTCTTCCTTCCCTCCCTCCCAAAATGTTCTGAAACCTGGAAAAAAAGGTTAAAAAAAACCCCAACCCACATTTCTAATATTTCCAGTTTAAAGTTCCATGCCCTGGCATGTCAAAGGACAGCTGAACCTGTCACAGTTCCATTCATGAGCTGCCTGCAGTCACTCTGATCACTACTGATTAGCTTTAGTACCAGGGGAGTTCAAAACACTGAAAAGGAAATTATTTGGGAAATAAAATAAGAGGGAAAAGGGGAAAAAGGAGCAATTAAAAAATGTCAGATTACATTTAAAAGGTAATGTTGCCTTTAGTAGATAATAAAGTATCTAAAGTCCAGGCATTTGAGGCAAGTACTTTTGACTAGTTAAATTATTTAGTGTTGATTAAAACACATTTTGCTGAATATGAAAAGCTACAGTCCAACAGAGAAACCCACAAGTGAAACCTGAATGGGATTCATAGAACTAAACAACCACAGGTCTGCATAATTGTGGCTAAGGAGGGGATACAAAACCTAGATCGTTAATCAATGATTAATTGACTATTTCAAACAATGTTTTGGCAGTCTGGTCCTAGCACCTCATGACTTGGATGTGAATCCCAAAGATGTCATGTTCAGCACCTAATGCAATGCTGTACCCTGAGAAAACCATAGGTTAATGTAAAGAAAGTGAAAGTGTCACAATTTCTCCTGTGTTTTACACCCAGTCAGGTGAGATGCCAGCACAGGGTTTGCTCTCCCTTCCCACAGCAGCCCTGGAGCCTCTGCTGGCCCAGGGTCCTCCCCTGCCCCTGGCACCCCCAGCTCCCACCAGAAGGGATTCCACAGTTGTCTTTTGCTTCTTCCAATTTCTTAGGTATTTGTTTTTCTGCTTTGAAAAGAATTGTACTGCTTTGATGCAAATCGTTTCGCTGAAAGATCCCATTCTCTGCTGCAGAATGATTAGTTATTAATGCACACTGAGCAACTGTAAGCAGACAGTTTATCATAAGCAGGAGGTGTGCTTTATCAGGAAAGTGGATTTTATCTTATGGTTATTCTAGATTTACTACTTTAAGGCTATGCTTTACTATGCTTTTGCTCTACATCTGAATATTTGTATTGTTGATAAAAATACTTTTCAAAAATCTAATATACAACACAATATCATTGTAGGTGTAGGCACTGCTTAAGTATGTTCAGAAATCCTTTGTGTGCAAATTTAGTTTTCTTCAATCTCTACATTTTGGTAAATTTGGAGTTTAAGACAACAGATTCTATAATTGATACCGTAAATTCTAATTTGGAATTGATCTCACTGAGTCACTCTGCATTCCAAATTCTGTAAAAATGCAACTAAACATCAGGCTGCAGCTGTGAACTGTATGTTTCAGATGGAATTTTACTTAATATTAACAAGCAGAACTTACCAGGTGTAAGAACGTCCCAAATATGCAATAATCCTTCAATGCAGTTTATCCATTTAGGCACTTAAATCTTGTACCCAAATTTATGTTTTGATTGCTAATAAAACACAACTCCTTTTAAATATATCTGAGATGTTTAGACAGGTACCACTTGTGAAAAAAGGCATCAAAAATAAGCTTCAACACCACTGTAATATATTTTATTCTTCAGGATGTTACACTGTAATACTCTTCAACTGGGAGCTCACTGCATCAAATGTTTGTAGAAAGTGTGTGGATCTCAAAGTTTCTCATGATCTCCTTTTGCAGGGATGCAATGAACGTTTCAATCCTTCATGAAACAGGCACAAAATGCAAATTCCTTCATTAATGAAGCCAGTTGTGTCAGTGCCCAGAACTTAAGAATCACTAAGTGGCAGAGGACACCCACCAAAATCATAATTCTCTTCTTTGATTTTCAGCAGCAAATTTGTTTTTAGATCATTGGTCTCCATCCAGAGTGACCAGTCCCCAGCCTCGCATGCATATACTGTATTAAGGATAAATTAATGTCATTCACACTGTCCCCAACGAGGTCATTCCTTCATACTGTTTCTTCTGTTGACAGCAACAATGGATTAATATATTCAAATCCTTCAAATTCTGACTGATCTATTCGCTTTATTATATCTCTGAAAAACAAATGAGAGCAGTGTTTAGTTTATCAGAACACTGGGCACTCTTCCATCATATAAATTATGCAAGACACAAAGAATTTCAAATTTACTGTAACATGACTAAGTTGTAATGGCAAGTACATAGCTGTGGGAAATAGTAAAGGTAAGATTTCTAGAAGCAAGATAGTAAAAGGTTTTAAGCTTAATGAAGGTGTATTGTTAATAGAAGACAAGCAAACACTGTGTGAAGCAGGTGTACATGTAATTGGCTAAAACAACTGGCTGTAAGGTTTAGCAATATGCTATTGGCTAAAAAGTTTTTCAAATGCTTTAAAGCTGCACCAAGGGAAATAGAGGTTGGATATTAGGAAGAAGTTTTTTACAGAAAGGTGATAAAGTTCTGGAATGGCTGCCCAGGGAGGTGCTGTAGTCACCATCCCTGGGTGTGTTTAACAAAGCCTGGATGTGGCACTGGGGGCCAGGATTGAGTTGAGGTGTTGGGGCTGGGTTGGACTTGATGATCTTTAAGGTCTCTTCCAACCTGGTCATTCTGTGAAAGAAATCTTTGGCTGCTGCTGCTGCCTGTACATGAGCTTTTGCCATCTTCCTACTGTCTCAACCACGTAATGAGGCTGATGCTGCACTAAAAGCTCAAGGAACAGCAGTCCCATCCCCTTTGTGAAGAGGAAAATCTAACCACACCAATACACACAGTCTCAGTGATTTTCAGCTAATGTATGAATGAACCCCTAGAAAGGCAGCTGGCTGGGGCAGAGCAGCACATACTCATCATCTGGGGTGAGCTGCACGGGCTCGCTGGTGAACTGCGTGTCGAAGTTGTCCAAGCCGTAATCGTCCGTGATCTGCGGCTGGAACGGCGGCGTCGTCTGCTTCTTCTCCAGCTACCCAAAATGTGGGGAAAGGGAAAAATTACAGCCTGCAAGAGTTACACATCCCTCAGGAAACCCAAATCCAACTGCTGTAAATGCTATTGGAAAGGAACATCAAAATACACCCTGCAAACCAGGCAACAGGCAGCAATACAGTGACTGCTCTGCATTTTAAAATAAAAATACACAAATAATTCAGCCTTTTAGGTTTTCTCTAAATTGGTAGATTAGATTCAGGATTCATAAATTCCCACAGTGCTGCAATACAGCCATTAGCACAATATATTTACTTTTGTTCCTGAGAAACTGACCTACTTTTCTTGCTGCGCTTGTGTGCAATCTGTCACATCGTCCAATTCATAGTAGCACAGACACCAGCATTCTAATTCTGACATTTATATTCAGGTAAAAAACTGTCTAGGCAACAAATCTCTATAATCTAACTTAGGTCAGGTAACTGTGAGTAGAGTCAGTAGTAGTTACTACTGACCAAAATGATCACTTGTGTTACCAAGAGCGGATAAAAACCTGATTTTAAGGCCAGGACCTCTCATGATGCTTAGAACAGAGCAAACAAAACAGGGAATAAATCCCAGAAAAATCTTGGATTTCAGGTTTCAGACCTGAAATCAGAGCACAGGAAGTACAGATGGAGATATGAGGAAATTGTGAAACTGTCACAGGGTGGTGCATTAATACATCAACATCCCATCAATGATCAGGTCTGGGAAAGCACCATGAAATCAAAGTCATGGGGAAGAAATAATCAGCTCCTCCCAAACAAGAATGGCAACATGAAGGAATAGCAAAATGAATATTTAAAAACTGAAGCAGGGTGGCAGGACTGTCCCTGTGAGCTGTTGTCACGCACTCACATCCAACAGCCAGGCATCATTGCACAAGGGGTTAAACATCAGACTTCTTCCTTTGCTATATTCAGCACAGCATAAAAGCCCTCTTAAATCAGCCATAGAGAGAACTTACAGCCTTTAACTTGAGAAAATAAGTGAAAAACCAGGTGGTGCAGCTCTAGAAAATCCCTCACTGCTAACAGGAGCTGTGGCTTTATAGTTCTTACTCCAGCATGCAATGGTTAAACACCATGAAACAGGCACTGAGATAAGAACAGACTGAATATCCCAAAACAATCCAAAAAAGCACTGCCCCGGGTGCTGCTGAGCCATCCTACACCAGAGTGAGCAATCTGAAGTGTTCTGGGCTGTGCCACACACTTTGGATGACTAACACCAGGAAAAATGTTCCTGGGCTGTGTGCTCTCTTTCCCTGTATTTATTTTTCCATTTAGCTCGAGCTGCACACAGAACAAGTTTTAAAGTCGGTGTTAGACTCGTTTCCTTATGTTACAACTTGAAAGATTTGGAAAAGCTTTTAAGTCCAAATGTTTTCTTTGAAATGCAGGTGGTGAGTAGGAGATTCTAATAACTAAAAAAGCTTTCCAAGCATTTTCTCATTTTTTCCTGAGTACGTTTGCCAAAACTTATTAGAAATTTAACTTCAAATTTCTCTGACGTTGATCCTCCTGAGCAGTACTGTCCTAATCATATCACAAAACAGATCACCTCAATCTTCCCAATTTTTTTTAAATAAGGATTTAATATTAAAGCTTTCAGCCATAAAAATGTTAGAAAATGTAAAAATTCAATCAGCATAAATGTTGACCATAAAGTACCAATTTCAATGAAGAGTTTTTCCTAAAATAAACAAAATACAAATCCAACAGTTGTGTTTTTCCCTCTCTCTCAAAAACCTGCAAAGCAGAACAAACTGCAGGACATGATGTTCTGCTCCACACCCCAGGTGAGCTGTACTGGGGCACCACAAGACAGCAAAAAAACCCCAAACCAAACAAAAGAAAACCCAAAAAAAACACCCCACTAAGGTTGAAGGGAGAACTCCAAGCAAGGAATGTCTGGCAAAATTAAGGACAGCCCTCATTACTGGGATAATTTGAAAACACCAGGACTTTTAAAGCATCAATTCCTTCTGCACTGTGTTCTCTGAAGAATGTTACAATGAAATTCAGAGCAGCAGCTTCAAAGGGAAAATGAAACTGTGCAGCTTTCTCTCATCTGAACTCTTTCATGTTAGTGCTGCCTCTTCCTACACTTCCTGCAGCCTTCCCAGACTATGGAAATACTACAGACACACTTTTCAATTGTTAACTACCTATTAAAAATGTAATGCTGGCAGGGAGGTGCTCCAGACTTTACAGCTTTATTGCTCAAGTGTCAATAAATGTTATAATGGCATTTCTGGGATGCTTCTGCACTGGAGACAGAAGGTAACACAATTACCAAGTAGCAGAAGATTTAAAAACCAGTGTCAGTAACTGTTATAATGGCATTTCTGGGATGGGTCTGCACTGGAGACAGACTGTAACACAATTGCCAAGTAGCAGAAGATTTAAAACCCCAATTTTGATACAATATTTGCTTGCAAACCCACTGAAATGCAAGTCATCTTCTTCACCATGAACAAAAAAACCTCCCTCACTTCAGCAGTACTAAAGAAAACCTGCAAACTGTAATCAGAGCCCCTTTACAAACAGCCCCACTGCTCTCCTGCCACATCCCTACCAAAAGGGACTGATCCTGCTCACTCCACCTCAGGTCACTGAACCCTGACACCCACCTGAACAATCCTACTGCTTTTAGGAGTCCCAGAACTGGTAAATTCAGCTGGGTTTTGATGTACTAGGACCACTACCTTGACATTTCCAGAATTCATTTGGCCTGTTTGCAACAGGGCTGTTGATATGCACACAATTAATAAATGAATGAATGGTTCCTTTGGAAGCCCCAGAAACACAAGGAGTGATTTTTTTACCAGATCCCAGTCTATGCTGCGGAAAAACGTGTGAGACTTGATATCAGCAAATCCTGTCTGGGGCTGACAGCCAAGCCTTTCTTTGGGATCCTGTGGAAAACACAGACACTGGAATTACACACTGCAAGCCACTTGCAGCCCACGTTTGCCAAAAGCCCACAGAGATGACTCCAGCATTCCCATGACTGTGCAAACTCTGCTGGGATAAACACACCATAGCTAGCAAAGAATGCTTAATCATCTTCTTTTTTTTTAATAAATTTTACTTGAAACTTAATTTTTAAATGATCTTTTACAGCTTCTTAAAATAATTAATATCTTTCTTTTTTCCATGCGTGATAATGGTTCTTCAGATTTCAATCAGATTAATTAAATGAGTAATAAATATTACAGAAAAGAGTTGATGAACAAAGTTACAGTTATTTTTAAAAGCCTGCACCTAGTTGAACATGAAGCCTATGCTGTGGAATTCCCTCAGTAATTTTGAGACTAAGTGGGGTTTTTAACATAGAGGATACCAAGGTTTTATAGATTTTCTTCACAGTAAGCAGATTAACTTCTTAACTGTATCACTTTCAACAGGAAGCTCTGACTTCCAGCTTTCAGATGCTAAAAATAAGAGAATGTTACTTACCTTGTTTAAAAATCCTTTTAACACATGGGAAGCCTTGACAGAAAGAAACCTTGGAATCCGGATTGGCTTCTCCAGAATAACTGTGACAGGTTTAAAAACAGCAAGATTGGGTTTTGTGACATTGACCATGAATTCAACACAAACATTTGTTATTTCAGTATGGCACCAGTTAGAAAATGGAAGATAAAGTAATTTTTTACAATCATGCAAACAAAAGGAGCTACAGGAACTCAAAGCATTGTTCTATTGACATTGCAAGATTTCCTAAGGGACGTGTTACCTTCATTATCTTTTGCTATTATTTATTGTGTAAACAGAAAATAATACTTTTAATTCACAGGATATGGAAAAGTGTGATTTTAAACAGAAATTGATTTTCTATCAGGCCCTTCAAGAAGACCATGACAGGTTCTGTTACACAACTGCAGGATCTGCTTTTGAGAAGCTTTGCCTGCGGTGGAGTTGGCAGCATTGTGGGGTAACACTGGGAAAGAAAACCCCAGCTCTGCCATACAAACTGCCCATTTGGATTGTACCCCCCCAAAAAGCACCCAGAGGGCAAAGGCAGTACCTTGGAAGAGGTAATCTTCAGTGTTCATGTCTGGATTGTCAGTGATGATGTCGAACGGGGAGCGCCCGGCCATCATCTCGAACATCAGCACCCCCAGTGCCCACCAGTCCACACTGAACCCTGCAGGGGCACACGCAGCTTCCTCAGCCAGCATCCTTGCAATTCCAGCTCCTCTCTCACACAAAGCAAGACTGATGGCTGCTTTTAGCACTGCCTCCTGCTTTAGGGCAAATCTGGGAGAGAACCTCCAAAGGGGTTCCTCTAGAAAGGAGATTCAAGTGGTTCTTACCTCAACCAGCCCAGGGAAATATTTCCTTGGAGAAAAGTGGAAAATTGATTTCAGGGCTAAACAGGCAAATGGGCATCATAAAATGCCCATTAAACTGATTTCTGGGCTAAACAGACAAATGGGGATACCAGCATCATCAAGTCACCCCAGGATTTACTGAAATCCCTGACATGATTTACACCATCACTGGGTGAGTCTGACTTTTCTCAGCTGGGATGACAAATGTAGGGGAAATGTCTGCAGGCAGCAAAGCTGCAGTTTAAATGTTTTCCTATAGTATAATTTCATAAATATTTTTCAGGCCAAGTATGATTTAAAAGAAGCTGAAATGAGTGATAGGAAGGGGAAAATCCCCTTTATTTCAGGAAAAAAATTGAACTGCACAACAAGCACTCAAGTTTTATTATATATGAACACAGAAATGTGCAAGTCAAAAAATTATTTGTATTTGAACCAAACTACAGCTACATTTATTTTGACTCTAGCTTGTTTAGGCATGACTTACCATATTCTTCTCCTCTGAGGATCTCTGGTGCAATGTAATTTGGTGTCCCACAGAAAGTGCTTGTAGTGTCACCTGGGCCCAAACCTTCCTACATGCAGAAATCATTTCATAAATTAAAAGCTGACCTCCTTTTTTGGGTATTTCCTTTAATTAGACTCAAAACCCCAAGTTACTCAGGGAGTTTAAAGAGCTTCCTTTCACAAAATAAACACTCATAGTGCTCAAAATGGCCTAGGACTCCACAGCTCCTCTTCAGCAAAGTTGATTAAAACTGAGTTACAACATGTATGTAATAATATTTTGCTTACTAATTACAGATACATTTAAAAAAATCAGTTAAACAATTTGGAAGTCCTTTTCAAATAGATATTGGGAAAAAAAATTCTATAACAATTCAGTTCCAAATGTGGTTCTATTCAGTGAAGTTTTTTCAGAAGAAAATTCCAATTCCACAACCAAATTCTGGGCTCAGTAACACCAATGTTAATATAAAAATGAATTTTCTTAGTGTTCTCTAAGAGTGACAGAAGAAAGGTCAGGACAATCCTACCTTGCACATGCCATAATCTGTTAATTTGATATGACCCTCTGCATCTAAGAGAACATTGTCCAGTTTTAAATCTCTGTAGATGATGCCTCTTTCATGCAGGAAGTTTAGAGCAATACAAATTTCAGCAGCATAAAACCTGAAATTAAGAAGGAGAAAGTTCATATTAGCATTAAGATGGTACAAAAGCTGAGTAATTTAAATATCTCTTTTTAAAACATAATTTTACAGCCAACTTTTATGTATCAATAGCATAAAAAATCCAAGGTACATTTACTGATAAGGACACTGACCTCTTATAAGACCATTCCCTTTATAAAAATGAGGGTTTTTTTATCCTACTAATTAATATTTATTATTTATTCCACAGATTTTTTTTTTTCCTGGAAACTCCACATAGCAAGATGGAAGATGTTTATTTTCCTCTTATTCAGAGTGACACTGAGCCTTTGTGTAGTACAGGGCCATGCAAACTGGATTTTTAATCTTCTCCCACCAACACTGTATTATTTCAACATCAGAGCAAATTAGGTAGAATTTTACATGTTCCATCAACAGATCAAAGAGGCAACACCTCAATATGAAGCAATAAAGAGGAGTGAATTGGAATAACTGCTACTACTGATGAACTTCTTGCTCTCTAAAAATATTCACGTTCTTCAAAAAAAAAGTAATTTTACATTTCTTCCCAGGCAGGACATCCTAAAGTTAAGAATGCAAGTCCAAAAAGCACCAGAAGAGAAGGCCAGATGTGCCCTGTGCCAGGGGTACCTTGCGTGCTCCTCAGGAAGTTTCCTCTGCCGCTGCATGTGGAACATGAGGTCTCCCCCATTCACATACTCTATGACAAGGAACAACCTGAAATTACAGAGCACAGTTAATGCACTCCAAGGAAACTCCCCAGAAATGCTGCTTTTATTCTTCCCATCTGAGCCATTCTCAGTTCCACTCTTGATTCAGACTTCTAGATTTCTTATAGATACAAAACTATTTAAGAGGGGGGAAAAGAGCACTTATTTTATATATATTATGCAGGAACACTCCCTTTATTTAAATGCTGCCACCTTTATCTGTATATATAAATTAATTACAATAATTATATTAATATATAATGATATGAATGAAACAAGTGTGACACTGTACACAACACAGGCACCAGATGGAAGCTCTGGGCTCATTTGTTCCTCTGGAGAATCAGTGTTTGAACCAGGCTGCTCCAAAGCAGGGAAAGGTCAGCAGGGGACAGAGATCCAGGTGGAACTGGGCAGAGAGAAGGATTCTGTTACAGGCTGCAGGAAAGCTTTCATCCTTGGGAAAATATGATCCAGGCAATGCTGCCAAGGTCAGGGAGAGCTCAGGACAGGAACAGAGCTGCTGGGGCAGGTTGGGCTGGCCCAGGGAGCAGCAGTTCCTTGTACACCTCATTTTCCATGAGCTGAAAGCTCCTTTCCACACATCCTCACACTGGAAAACATTCCTTTTGGAGAACACATGCTCCAGCCTCTCAGATCACTCTAGCTGGTGATTTGATTGTTCTTTGGAAAAGGATTCTTCATTTGAAACACTTAAAAAGTGTTAAAACTTAAACCAGGAAAATCTATTGGACAAAATCCAGCTGGCAGGACTCTGAGTGGCCTCCCCACAAGAAGATAAATGCTAAACTGAAATTAAATAAGCAGCAAACAAAATACATAACAATGCCATGAGTATTTCATTACAGCACTCCTGGTGTTTTTTGCTTCCAGCTTTCTTATCCTATTTAGAAGTCCCCAATGTTTTATCACCATTCAGAACTTGAAATTGCAAGTTCCTTGCCAAGTCATACTCAGGAGTGTCAGAAGTGGCAGGCCTGGCTGGGTTTAGAAGGATTTACTGAAACACCAGCAGGTTTGCAGGATGGAGGTTTCAGGTTGTTGGAAGACACTTATCTGGCAATTCTGGGCAAGTCCAGGGCATATATTTTATTACAATAATGAAACAAGCATCATCAGTATCTGAAACAATGCACAGCTACATCAATTAGCCTCACATTTAGGTACACATTTGTGTTAAATACTTATTTAAAGCTATATTCAAGAGAAAGAACATTTTTTGCAACTTTCATCCCATTAGTACCCTTGTCACAACTTGTTCTATTACAACTCATTTTCTTTGGGCCACTTAACACAATCTGATGTTGATGAATTTATTCACTTGGAATCAGTATTGTGCTTTTCCTGCTTGATGTAAATGAGGCCATAATTATGATTTTATAACACTACAGCCATAATCCAATTGTGAATTCATGACATTATGGTTATATCCATGGCAAATGGCTGAAGTTACCAACAAAAAACTAGAGTGTCACTGCAAGAAGCAGCTGGGCTGCAAAAGCAGGACTCATAAAGCTACACCAGGAATACAGAAAGCTTGGATTATGTTCAGCATGGGGTTTTTTCCTATTTCTGCTCCTCAGCTCTCTCAGTGTAGCTGCCAAAGAGGAATGCACAGGATCCTGCTGCTGACTCAGCCTTTTCCTGGGTTTCAGTAGTTACAAAAAACCTTCTCAACCCCTCACCCTGCCTCAGCACTTGAATTTTTGTATCAGGTGTACAGTTCTACTTTGTGTTTGGTGAGAAACTGTTTGGGAATGTTTTGGTTTAACTTAACAGCCTTTCCCAACAGTTTGTCAGTTGTCTAAATGTTTATTTATTTTTTCTGATGAGTTTGTTTTGGTCACATCCTCACTCAGTGACCTCTGGAGATGATTCTTTATTTCTTTCTCACTTCCAAACACTCCTTGGTCCATGTACCTTCAGAACACTCATCAGCTCCTTTACCTCCTTCATCTCTTTTTTCCTGCTAGGAAGATTTCCTCTGGCTCTAACCATTAGGAAGGTGAAATTTTGAGGACTGAAAAAAAGGTCCAGTGCATAGCTTTGCATTTTAAAACTTGACAGTACACATTGCAACAAAGAGATGATTATTCTTAAGGATAAATGACTGGATAATCCATGAAGACTTTGAAACTTTGCACTCTACACTGCAGGTGAGTTGGATAAATGACAATTTTCTGATTATGAGATATATGGCATGAGGCATTATAAAAGTGTAACAGCAAACAGGTGCCTGTGAAAACACAAAAATACCCCAAACCACATCCCAATTCCCCAGGAACATAGGCAGGGACATGAAAGCTCTTGTTTTCTTCATAATACAATTGCAAAACAAGCAGCAAATAATCCAGTTTGGATTGTGCACACAGGGACAAAGAATTAGTATTTCTAAGTTAAGAGTTAAATGAGCACTTTCTCCACAATCCCACAGTGCTTTGAAATGTGCTCAAGGCTTTTCAGCCTCCTAGGTACCAATAGCACTGTGCAGGCAGGGGTTTATATTGTTATTAAAAGGTTATTAGTGGGCAGCCCAGCTCTCAGGTTCTTCAGGAACAGTGCACTGCTGGGAACTGAGCTGGCCTCCTCAGCAGAACTGCTGTAACCTGTTGGGAAGCTCTGTGCTCCCCATTGCACAGGGCTGTGCTCAGGAAGGCTCAGCTCCTCCTTTCCCTTCAGGTCTGACCCAGAACACCACACTTCTCTCCACACCTCTACCCCCTAGAACTGACTTTGCTGCAGCACTGAATCCCTGACAATGCCAATACTTCCTTCCAAAAACTCCTGGCTGTGTGATGGCAGTGGCTGCATTTGCTTTAGGGGAAGCAGTTTAGTACAACGACCAAGAATCTCAAGAAAAAAAGAAAAAAAAAAAAAAAGAATTTCAGATCTTCCTTACCGACTTGTTGTTTGAAAGCATGAATGTAAACCAACTAGGAATGGGTTACTGGATGCCTGTTCAAAGACATGTTTCTCTGTCTGTACCCAATCAATATCCTGAAACAGAGTAATTGAACAATCAGAACTCCTGCTGGATAACCACTGTGGGTATTCCCAGACAAACACCTGTGAACATCCCAGTGCTGCCTTGCACACATTGTTCTTCAGAAAGGCAAGGACCCCTCAAAATCTGGAGGAAATTATAAAACATTGTCACTCAGTTATAAATTCAGAAGTTATTTAACCATTTAAGGAAGACCTGCACAAAATCTAAGCCATTGTTAATAACATACATCTGCAATATTTGATAAACTGCTCACACTGCTGCATGGAAATAAACTCAGTTCTTAGATAAATGATCCCAAAGCTGCTGAAGCAGCTCATGCCAGTTACACAAACAATGTGAATCTCCAGCTTTTAAAAGGTTCAAGTGAACTGAACTCATCTCCTCATCTGAAATTCAAATTTAATTCAATGAAACTACCAAAACCTGCTTAGTTGGTCCAGCCAAAATCATTAAAAGGACCACAGATACCTTTAATCCTTCAACAGGAAGAAGTCCTGAATCCCCAGTGCAAAACCACATCATAAAAACAGTTTGCATGACACTGGCACAGTGCTGCAAAATTCAGAGCTGTGATAACAAAGCATTTAAGCTTTATTTCCTAGAACCACACACAATTTAAACATCACAGACAGCTGGGTTTAGCAGCAGATATTCACCCTTCATGCAGAGCACTGATCATGTGCCACCCTGCAAACACTCAGGACCCTGCCAAACACCAGAACTGTAATTGTTCTAAAAATTCTCCATTTACCACAGATACTCCCAGCTTCCCAACCAATCTGGAGACAAGAAATGGAGACTGAAATGAGACCTTCCTGTCAGGGATGGATGCTGACACTGAAGTCTCAGAGGAAACAAGAACTGTCACCATCCAATTGAATAAACCTGCCAGGTTCTGTGTGTGGACCCTTGTGAAGAACCATCACCCTGGAGGGGTAAACCTGAGTCCAGATCAAAATCCAGGGTCAAAAATCCAATTTTGAATAAAGCACTAAATATGTCCACCTCTTCTTGGTTTAACTAAATGAGCTTCTCTTTAAGAGTCTTTAAATGAACTCTTCATTAGTGCACTTGGCATTAGGATTATACCAGTGCTCCACTTCACAAAACTAAGCTCAGCAAAACTGAACAGAAGCCCAGGTATTTGATTTCCCTCCATCTCACTTCTCCCCACTAGCAGCCAGGTGATTTAAACATGCTGATACTTGCTATGTAATTGATTTTTTCTTTGTGGAACACTTCTAAGGTGAAATTTCCATTACTTGCAATATCACATGCACTCACAGAATTCAGTGCATCTCCTATCAATTCCCAGAATTTCATTATACAGCTTATCTTAGAGAAAAGAAAAACCAATTAGCTCTGTCTTCTATGTAATTATGAGAGCCACAATTCCAGAAAGCCTTTCCTCATCTACCTCTGCTTCTCAAACAGCTGCACAACTCATTAAACAGGACTTGGCTTTGGCTCCCACCTTCTTGGAAAAACATGTGTTAAAAAGGAAAACAGTAAATAAACCACACAACAGCCTCATCTTAGTTCATAAAAAGGAAACATCAAATAAATGAGAGAGCCAAAGGATTTTAGAACTAAGCCCAGCCTCTGGAATAATGGCAGAGATGACAGAGCAACTGATTGAAACTACCAACACAAAGAGCACTTAAAATAGTGTTTTGATGGTTTTTGCACAAACACCCTACTTTCAATAAAGTCTACTATAGGAAAAAGATGAAAAAAAAAATTCCCTTTTTAATTTTCAATTTTTCCCCCAACTAGTGCATTTGAGATCTTGTATTAAAAAAAATCTACAGGATTTTGAAAATAATGGAGAAATGCAGCAGACTTCTGTGGCAGACAAAAACACAGGGATCTCAAATGGCAGTAGCATAATTTTTGAACTCATGGAAGAAATATTTCAGAATACTGAATCACTTGCACATAGGCTCTGCCAACATAAGAACAAAGTTTCAGCTCCTTTTCTGCCACACAGACAATGCTTTTGCCTTGGAAAACACATTTGCTTCCTTTCAAAATTAAGTGACAAATTCCACCCCATTTATCTCATCACTTACAGATTAGTACATCCAGGTTGGAACGTTTAATACATGATTTCTACCAAGACTATTAGTAATTGTTAGTTGTTATTACAATAAGGGACATTTCTGTCAGATTTCATCCTGGAGCTTCATGCAGAGTTGATGACAAACGAGCTCAAAAGTCAGAAAAACCTCTCTGCCAGAGAAGCTGTCTGAAACATGAGCTTCTTGCTTAGCTGGATGGTTTTTGTTAAAGCATAGGAAGTTTTTATAGTATGTAAAAGAATGCAATTAACACAGACTTTTACCTCATCATCATGGACCAGTTCTTTTTTCACTACTTTCATAGCATAGATCTGATCATTCTTTTTTAACCGAACCAGAAGAACTTTGGCATAACTTCCACGGCCAATGACTCGGATTAAATCAAAGTCCTGGAGTCCAAGCCCCTGAGAAATCTTAATTCCATCCATTCCATCAATGACTGGTTTGAGATCCTGTATAAAAAGAAACAGATGCTAGAAACTGAAGACATTTCCATAGCAAGTAACTATTAAAGCAGAGAGATCTTTGAGCACTGGACAGAATTTGCTGACTTTGCTTGGCACTGGCACCCAGGGCTGGATGCTGATTGGAACACATTTGTTTAGAAATGTTTGGTTTCCATTGGGTTTGCTCTAACTAAAAGTTACTGGTTTTTTCTAGGCAGCAGTTCATCCAACTAATCATTTTCATATTCCCTGCTAGAAAGCAGAAGGCAGTGCCTTGAGAAATGAGGTTTATCCAAATTCCTGAACCTCAAGGCATGTACATTGTATCCTTTACACAAAGTGAGGAGCATTGCTCATATTCTGACAGATACAGCACAAATTAATAAAGGCTATCTAAAAATAAGATGACTAAGGACACACTAATTTGCTAATGAATATACCTGTCTTGGTTTCTGTTTAGGCAACAACTGTCTGTGTTCAGCTCACTATCATTTTAATAAAAATTAAGATTTCTAACAGATCCTGGGAATACAGAGAACAAGATCTCAATTTCTCAGGTCTGGAAATTTGCAGGAAATATTCCACTATGAAGAATGTTATTTTTAAATTCATTATTTAAGAAAGAGAAATTTTATCATCTTGGCTGTTTGCTGGAATTAGATGTGAAAACATGGGACTGAAGATGGAGCACTGAACTAGATGAATGCAGCAGGTACTTGGACTTTCAGGTTTTACCAATGTACCCAAGGCTTTGACACACTTCTGTGGCCTATTTTTACCTGACCTCACACTACTGTACTTGCAGACAGATCAGCATTCTGCAGAACTGTGGAAAGTGTTTATATAAAGAATCTTGATCTAGGATTGACTGCTATTAGAAGAGATTGCTCTAAGCTTAAAGATTCTGGACAAAGCTGCCAGAACACCAACTCCTTTCTGCAGGATACCTTAAATCATTTCAGTGCAGCTCAAAGGCAAGATGGGACAACCAGAGCAGTGTCATTCAGGACAGCTGAGCAAACAGCACCTCCCAAATTTCAACACAAACCTGAGCACTGACCACAGCCTAAGTGAGCAATAAAATTCTTTGATGTGCTTTTAATTTTTACCCTTCCCTTTCTGAATTTGAGATAAAAATCTGTAGCTACATGACTGAAAAGAAGGCAGTCAGTCACCCAGGAGCAGGAGCTGCTCAAGTGTGAAAGGAATGGTAGTGACAAGCATTGTAGTGGAGGCAAAGGAAAAAGGTGCAGCCTTGCTCAGAGGGGAACATCAGAACAACTCCCAGTGCTGTGCAGAGTGCATCCTATTTATTTTAAACATGCCAGAAGCAGTCTTAAAAGAAATGTCTTTAAGCCCTTTAGAATTGAAGCATATTGAGATTTTTCAGACTGCTCCAAAGGAATAACATTGTTGATGTGCAGAGATTGAGTCAGATCTCTACAAAAGACCTGAAAAAAGAGTTTAAGTGTATGTTATTCTATTTGTGTTTCACAGGAGCTGTGTAGAAATGCTTAGGTATTATTTATATGAACCCTCTCAGAGAGCTGGGTAGTTAATGGGTCACCAGACTGAACCAAGTTCCACAGCAGTAGCCTGAGGGTGACAAAGGGTGAGCATCCATTAGGGACAGCAGACAAGGCAATGGCAAAGCCACCATTTGTTGTAAGGACCATAAAAGTCAAACCCTCTGCTAAATCACTGGTATTCCAACAAATGGAAGTGAGAAAACAAAAATGTTAAAAAGTATCTTGGATCATGAGTGGAATGACAACAGCTTAACACAGAACAAATCTGGAAAAAATCCAATAAAAATGCTTAAAAAAATTATCAACGTTCAGGAAAAAAACCCAGACTTTTGAAAAAGGCAGCAGAAAGCCCAGAACAAATAATCAGCTATTTTATAAAAAGTTGAATGATTAGACTGAACTTGATGATCCTACAGGTCTTTTCCAACCTAGCTCATTCTGTGATTTGGAATACATAAATACAAATTGCAAAAATATTTTAAGAACATACCTCAGAGTCATCTTTAATGGTGTCATGTTTCCGGTTTGAAGGAATGTAGGGAACTGGAAAAGAAATCAAAGTAGTGTGGTTATAAAGGCCTTCATTGAAATAGATTTAAAAATCAATAAACAGAAAGATATTTAGTAGCTTATGGCCAGGTTGCTTTAAACATTACTGGACTTCATTAACCATTTTATTGACCAGGTTGCTTTAAACATTACTGGACCACATTGACCAGATGACCATATTTTTCCACTTTCATAAACAGGAATTTGAAAAAATGAGGGCAAGAGGGTTGTAAAGCAGCAAAGCACTCACTTCCATCAGTGTCTTCTGAAGGGAGATCAGCCTCATCGTTTTTGTCATCCAAGCGAGGTTCCTGGGAAGGCATGACCGAATCCTGCCAAACACAGCCACACAAACAAACCCCCCTGGGCATGCAGCCCTGGGGCTGCCCTGCCTCAAACTCCAGGAGATCCTCTCCTTTTCCACAAGGAAAACTGGATTTTGGAGACTACATGTCCAAATATTAGCATTTTGTAATGCAGCCTACATAACCTCAGTGCTACATTAGCCATTCTCTGCAGCTACAACAGATGCTTGGCTGTCTTCTAAAAATAAGTGTGGGGTATTTTACAGCAAAGTTCAAAATTTTATTCTACTTAAAGACCTCTGAGTGTTTCACATGGAACTACAACCAAGTAAACACCTCAGCATGGTGTTACACACTCCATTTAGAGCACTGGCATATTCCTTTCCTGCTTAATAAAAACATGCATTTTTTCTCATTATGCATAAATTAGTGAAGACCACAACAACAGATATTTTATACTGCATTTGGACCCTGGGCTCACCCCCCAGACAAGCAGGAATATTCCAGGAAGTACAGCAGCATGAAGAAAGTAATTGGCAAAGAATTGGTAATGTGAAGGCAAATCACATACAATACCAGCAAAGAAAAATACTGGTTTAAGTCACAAAAAATGATACAACCACCAGTGAAATACTGGGGAGGGATATAGGAAAGGGGTAAAATTGAGATATACAGATGTTTAAAGCCTAGGAAAGACACCAGCATTGGCAATGGACTGAGGGCCATGGAGAGGAAGAGAACTGGACAAGAGAAACTGAGGTGGCAGGAACAGGAAAGCAATAAGCCTTTCTGAAAAGAGCAGTGTGGAAATTATATCAGTGCCTTAGCTCTTAAAACATTCCCACAGGCTAAAAGGAATAACTTCTGAGCTTGTCAGTGTCTAATGGAGAAGTCAAATTCAAGCCTGAGCACACTGAAGTCACATCACAAGCCTTCTTTCTCACTTTCTGCTCACAATCCAAAGGCTTGTTCTGCACAGAAACTGAAACCCAAATACTCCCAGGTGTTACATCCACAGCCCTGCCCACATTTCCTTACTCAGGACACATCTTCCAAGAGCAGCCCAGGCCAGAGTGGCACCCCCCAGCCCTGCCCAGAGCACACACTCACCATATGCCTTTTGCAGGTCAGTGGGACAAGGATGTGACAACGTTTATGGACCAACAGCTTGCAGTTGATACACTTGTAGCCTTGCCTTGCGAGCCCCCATATCCTTTCACTGCACTGGCCACAGTACGCTCTCTGCAAGCCACAATGCACATCATCAGCTCCAGGAGCAATCCCTGCTGGGAGCCAGCAGCTCTCCAGCAGCAAGAGCCCATCCCAGTCACCTAACAGATGTTCAGGAATAATTTTAGAAAGTCCAGAATTACAATAATAGCTGAAGGTTACACTTCACACCCAGAATTCAGCTAAATAGAGGGGTTTTTAATGAATGTTAGGAAAACAAATACCTCAAGCATATGGAACACATTATAGTGTGACATTAGCAAATCATTGCTAGAGAATAAGTCTATTTAGAATCTCAAGTTTTGACAGAGGTCACCCAAACAAAACTGCCAGAAGTTTGTACTACATAATTATGTATAAGAAACACCCAAAGTGACTGTGTTAGAGAACATTGGCACAAAATGTTAAACAGACAATGTATAAAAAGTCTTCTGCATCTACACCTATACACTTTAACAGTGGGAGAAGCTTTGCATAATTAAAACCCCTTAATCATGTCTGATATCAAGCCTCTGTATTGCACTGAGCATCAAAAATCTACGGTGTTTTTACATATGTAAGAAAAGAGCATGTGAGTTAAATCAAAATGAGGGTAAATGAAGAATCCAGACATCCTGCTGCTGACTTTAACAGGAGAGGTTTTTAACTCATTCTTCCAGTGTATGTTGCTATGGTCAAACTACAATCTGAGATCCTCACACACCAAGGAGTCACCCAGGCCCAGGGACTGACCACACAAAACTCACTCCTTATCCCCTGGCTGCCAATGCTCCCCATCATTCCTGCAGCAGGCTGAGCATTGCCCATCACCTGCAGCTGCACAGGAGCCTGCTGCTCCCAGCCCAGCTCAGCCAGAGCTCCCAAAGCTGTGTCCCAAAGCCCAGGGCCAGCCTGCTCCTCCCAGGCACTGCCCATTACGCCGCGGTCACCAGAGCTCACGGCACTGAGTCACACACACTCCTGGCCAAAACCCCTCAGCTCCTGAAAATCCCTGCTAGCAGTGCTGGAATAGTCAAAAACTAATGATCAAAGAATGGAGCATTTCTTCAAACAAGCATTTTTATATTGGTATAAAATTATTGTTGTATTTTGGTAGTTGTAGAAAACAAGAATTAATTCCTTCCTCCTCATCTGTGCAGCCAGTCCTCCTCGTCAGGAGAAACCCAAACTGCACTGCCCAGAGCAAAGAAAAACAACCCAAAAACTGCCTGATGAGAGGAAGCCTGGGACATCTATCGCTACCTCTTCCAAAATTCCTGGCCCACCAGACTTCCTTCAGTATCCTTTTATAGGTTTTGCAGCAGTACTATTAAGACTAAATAAAACCTGTCAGGCCCTGGAAGTAGGGGCAGGTCCCAAATTCCACCAGAAATTCAGGTAACCCTTTCACAGCTCTCACATGCAGTCAAAGCCATATCAGAGTTGACCTTTATGTTATGTTCAACAAGATTAAAGTTTAAATTTTTGTTCAATTATCTGAATGATCTGAAAAAGTTACAAAAGGTTTCCTTATGGAAAAAAATCTTTGAGGCAATACTTCAGCCTTAAAAATTACATCAACACTGAAATTTGTCTTGAATTCTGTAATACAGACATGACCATAATTTCTCATCAATTTATCCATTTTAATGTCACATTTTACAGTTTATGTCAACCTTCTTACTAACTTCAGTTGGATGTGATTTGTGTTCTGGCTCTGGATGATGTCACTTGTATGCAGGTACAGAAGCAGTCTTATTTAGGATTGTGACATCCTAAAGTGGGCATCCTAATGAGGTATCAAAATCTCTGTGTATATTCCCTATTTGCATCATTGCAATTAAAACATCATTATCTATAACATTATGGATTATTAATGTGGCAGTATGCATTCATAGTGTTTCAAAGAAAATATGTTGTTATTATAAAGCAAACAAACATATGTTTCATACTATAAATTATTTCATTCCTGTAGTACATTATATTATACAAATTCATGTGATAATTCATATATATGATATTTTAAATATATTTAGTGATAAAAGGCTGAGTTTTAAGGGACTTTTCCTTCTTTCAGTGCATTTTTGGGGTGGGAAATTTTAGAAAAAACTCTTATTTCAATTTTTAGAAAAAATGTCTCTGCTGAATGAAAGAGTTAACTCTTCTGAGTGCACTCAGTTTTGTGTGGAATTCCCCCAAGTACATTTGTATATATGCTGCAATACTTAGGCATAATGGGATAAGTGAAGGAGGTGTCTCAGCCTTAAAGCCACATTCACTTGCTTATGTGGATTACATCAGGCTCTCCAAATGCAGCTGTATTTTAGCTCAACGAAAAATCTTTTTAAAATTCTTAGATTGTGTAGTACCCCAGATACTAAACAGTTAAAGCTCACATCAGCAGCTGCAACTTTTATGGATGGCAAAGTGTTCTGAAGGTAAAAGATTTTGCTAACAAGCAACCAAAATCACAGGAATGGAGAGAGGAGAAGCTGCTCCAAGGATGTATCAGCTTAAACAGTCACAAACACAGTATTTTAGACTTTAAAAAGAAATAATTTCCACCAATCCTGTATTAACTCAAATTCAAACACCGCCAAGTTTTGCCTGCTCGTTATGACTCAAATAACACCGCAGCGTCCAAAATGTCACACCAACAAGCATCCTGCTTTTCCTTTCTTTCCAACACTCCAACACAGAAAAAGCACAGACTGAGGCAAACAATGAGCACAGAACATGAGCAAACCCCAACGTTTCATGCAACAGTACTCACTCTGTTAAAACGTTTGGCTTGAAACAAATGCCCATTCACTCGGTACAGCTTCCTCCATCTTCGGGCTCCCCGGCGGTAGATGGATTCTAGGGAAGAAACCAGAAAGGTGTAAGGCAGCAGCATGGCAGCCCAGCAGCACCACACACAGCAGGGTAAGCAAGTTGTGGCTCAGAACAATCTTGCTTTCCTAAATATCAACGCACAGCCACAATCCCTGGGGATTTGGATTTTTTTAAGGCGGCCCTGAGTGACGGCTGGGGCAGGATGTGCTTTCACCGCTGCCTCTCCCTTCCCTCCAGCCCTGTCTCTTTTCCCTCACATGATCATAATCCCGTTACAGCTCCGTGCCTGCTCTGGCTCAGGTGAGAGGGACAGCTGTTAAAGGAGCAGCTCCTCGGGGAAATGGCGCTGCTGCTGTGCCCTGGCACCTTCCACGGCCAGGCACAAAGGGTGGCTGCTGTGATACTGACAGCGTGAGACGTGTTGGGTACTGATAGCACCTCACCCATGCAGCATTCAACATGTTATAAGTCTGCAGAGTTACTTCATTTCAGTTCATTTTTACCTTGACAGTAAATATTGCTTTTGTTCAGGCAGGTCAAGTGCAGGTCCAATATTATTTTTAATATATTCTCAACATAACAAGAAATCATTTAATCTGATTAAGCCAAACCCAGCATCTACTCCAAGTTACTTTTCTTGTGGCTGTTTACATGCAGATGAGCAGCTTCTGTGTGAATAGCTAATTAGAGAGTTTGATATTTAACATTAAGTGTTGTGCCACAGGGGTCCCTTGCAGAGCTGCTCACAGCTGTAAGGGTGACACAGCCAAGCCCTGCACACCACCAGGGTCAGCAGCTTCCCACAGCTGGTACAGGTGGGTTCTGTGGGGAACATGGACGTATAAAGACTCTGACAGACTTGATTTCTAATTGATACTTTGTCAGAATGAAGCAGACTGTACATTTAAAATCCTCAGGAACTAAAACAAAAGCATCTTAGATTTTCATCTTTAATATTATTTTCAAGTTTCAAACATTCACACTTCATCAAAGATGAAGACTTTTTTTAAAATAGAAAAACACAGATATTTTCTGTGTCAAATGATAATGCAAGTAGTAAAAAGTTTCTTTGTCAAGAAATTATTTTAACATTATATTGAGCAAGCCAAAACTCACAGGCTACTGACACGCAATGTGTGAACACTGGCTGCAATACTGGGTCTGATTTTAGATCCTCTATTTTTGTCCTTCCAAAGGAAGCATTGAAGTTTCCGTGATTCCACATATCTACAGTGCCAAATCCCCAAACATTCATACCTACTCTATTTGCATGTGCAAATGTTTACTGTGCAAGCATTTGAAACAGATACTGCACTATTAAACTAATTGTTAACAATTTGGAAAAAAAAAACCAACGAGCTTCTCAGAGCACCTAAAGGACTGCACACCCAAAATGGCAAAGACAGAACTACTGGAACAGAGATGTAAACTGGATATGGCCATTTGACTCAAACAACTCTTCCAAACCTGCCAAATGTCAGCCTTAAAGCAAACTTTTCTCAAGTGCAAAGAACATTAAAATGAGAACCTAGCAAAATGACTGCAAGGTTTTTAACTAAAATATGCTCAGCCACAAACACCAATGGAAAACCCTTCCATCATTTCTAGGGTGACTTTTCACCAAGTGGAAAAAATCTCCACAAGGATTTTTTTTTCCAAAATAGTTAATTAATTCATCAGACAAAGCACCATATGGAGGCAACGTAATACATCTGTGATCTGAACATTAGCTTATCACTGACATGAGGAATATTAAGTGAATGATAAGTTAACGAGCAGCTTGTGCTGATGAAGTCTGTAAATAGAGGAGCAAGTCACCTCCCTAATTAATGATAAATATTAAATCAAAGGCAGGGTTTTATATCATGTAATTGTGAGGCAACAGACTAACAAAAACTGAGCTTAATATAAACCAGCTTTAAAAAGTGGGAACCTCTACAATTGATCCCCAGGACTGCCATGGTTCAGTGCAGGGGCTGAGGCAAATCAATCCCTGTTTCCTCTTCCCTGGCTCCAAAAGGGGCCAAGGTAAAAAATGAGAAAACAGCAATCCCTGCAAGACACACCTTTATAGCACACATTCTATTATTACTAGACATTAGGATTAAATTTCTATGACAGAATAAAACACTCTTGCTCACTGAGGATCCAAAAGTGGGACAAGTGGTTGTGCTGCCAGAGACCTCGACCCCTGGAAAACTGAGCAGGCAGGAACCTTGTGAAAGGGGACATCCTTCCCAGAAACTCCCCCAAGGATAATGCCAGGCTATAAAAAGCAGTTTGGGTTTTCAAGATCATTGTTATTTTGAAGCATTATCAGCTACAAGGCCCAGCTAGAGCTCCACCAGATCAAAGAAACCACCTTGGACAATAATCAGATTCATAAAATGGCAGTAAGTGCATACCTCGAGTTAAGAAATAATAAATTGTCAGTGCTGTGTGAACAAAGCTCTCATCTGACTTTGCATCTCATCCCTTTACATGGCAAAATGAACCCAAACAACATTTTCAGGGACATGCTTCTAGAACACTTCAGAATACAACAAGGAATGGATTTTGTGATTCCTGGTAACCAAGAACTAAACCAAGTTTTTACAGGATTGATCCCAGCTACCTAGAGGGAGGAATGGCACCACAAAAGTCTGACTATTTAATTAATGAACTTATTGAAAAGGGCTCTTTTTTAATTTATTTCACAGCACACATCAGTTAACTCATTAAGGAGTTCGAGTTGGCTGCTTGCAGTCTGATGGAGATGATATACTCCTAATTAAACAAAGTAATCTTTTCTGATGATTAATATTAAGCACAAGGCATTGCCTAACAAAAAAAAAATTCTTTCAAACCCTAATTGTGTATCTGAAAACATTTAGATAAAAAAAATCAAGTCTATTTTAAGCTCTTAGCAGGGATAACAATTTTTAATGGGGGAACACAAATATATACTGTAAATAGAATGAAGGTGCAGAACTTTATGTACTTCCAAGATTGGAAAATTGAAAGAAAAAAAACCCAGGCTTTTTCAAAGTAAGAGTACAAGGGAAATAAAAGTACTCAAAATAAAATAAACCAGCTGCCTCTACCTAAAAAGCAATGGGGAACAACTGACAGTTGCTGCTGTGCAATTCTTCCCTCTGTTGTCAAACTGTGCAACTGCATCACTAACAGTGATGCACAGCAAACCCTGCAAACAGATTTGATATTGGCTTTCCAATGACATTTTCTAGGACTGGGTTTGGGCTTCGTTCCTCATCTTTTAAAAAATATCGTAGAAAACAGTTCTAAGGAAAAACGTGAACACACAAAATTTAAATTGGACATAAATTGACAAGCAATGTTTAGTGTTCAGTGTTAATTCCAAATTAATTTCTCCACAGAGGATGCTCCCCAATACCATAACAAGGTCTGCAGAACTTCACAGAAAGGATGAGAACTTTGTGCTGAAAAATGTAACTTGGAAAAGCAGGGGAAAATAGAAGGAGGCACAATTCCTTTCCAAATGACAGCACAGTTGGTTTCCACCAATGAAGGGCAGTAAGATGGCCACAAAAATGATTCCCTCTTCATTTGGATTTCCAAATGCAATTCCAAAGCTGGCTTTTATGTGATCCAGCCCTAATGAAATGTGCTCCTATCCTGAGCACAGAGGTAATTTGCTATTGCTGCAAATCACTTCTCAGAGATTAATACAACTTGTTTACAGGCCAATTACCCAGCCTGCCAGCTGGACACTACCAGAATGCCCAGTTTTTGTTTTGTTCTTTTAATGTTGTGCTGAGCACACAAGTGAGCATTCTTTCAAAACCAACTCATGAATTACAAGGGGGAAATTGATACTGGCATTTCAGATAGACTGGACTTGATAAAGAAATCACATATAAAGGTAGAACACATTTTTTTGGGACACTAAATTCCAAAGTACACTTTGATAGTACATGGCTTGACATCTGTTATTTAATTTCCTACAAACAGTTACATTGAAACAATTTATGTGCTTCAGAAAGCAATTTTAAGACATACACTGGATGTTAAGTGGCCCTACTTTTTATTATGAATAAGCTGCTGCATACAATTGAAATTGGAAAATGAAAAGAGTATCCTTAACAATATGGAGGTATTAAGTGCTTTGACCCCTTGCAGTTATTGCAAAATATTAAATGGCCAGAAGATAGCTTTTTAAATTTTAATTTAAGGCTGATTAGCACTTGGGAAACCATCTCCCCATCCTTTTCTTTTCCAACAGACACTAAAATTAACTACAAAGTCTGTGAAGAAAAAACACAGTTAAGACAGCAACAATGACCAAGGAAGTAGAGGATCAGTGGAGAACCAACAAGGACACAGCTGTCCCACAGAGCAGCAGCATTTACTGCAGCCCAGCTGGGTGCACATCCTCCCCACTGCCTCAGAAGGGGCAGCTGAGCCCCACCTGCCCTGCCCAGCCCCAGTGCTCCCTCATGCCTGAGCTCTTGGGTGTTCCCCTTCAAACCCTGCTGCCAAAACGGCTCCGTGGCACTGCAAGGTGACAAAGTCACACCTCCAAAGACAGTGCCACAAACACAGCAGTGCCAACAGCTCATTTGGAGCGAGTCTCTGACTCACCAGTCTGATTTTATGTGCAATTGATCAGATGTACTTGAAAATAACAAAATACACCAAGTGATACTCAAGAAATGGTCACTGAGTCCAGGCAGTGGCTGCTGCCCCAGCAGTGACATGTCCTGGTTCTGAGCATCTCTGGGCACATCAGTGACCACAAGCTGCTGATGTCCTTCCCTCCTCAGCCTCTCGTGCTGACACTTCTGCTGTTTGCAAGGCTGTCCCAGACACAGGATAAAACGCTGCTCTAATTTGAAAGAATGTTATGAGAAGGGCCACAAGACAACTGGTGGTGAGTTCATGCTTCTGAAGGTGATGAATGTTTTTGTTTAGGAATGAAAAATAGGTTCATATTTTCCCTTCTCTAACTGGGCCCTCTAAGCAATTTTCAATTCACAGCCTTTCATGATGTGCAGTTGGCTCCTCTGGTTCCAAAGTCATTGGTCACATGAACCCCAAAACCAAACTTGCATTGCATGGTTAATAGTAAGTCCAAAGGCTTCTTTTGATGATTGCATCATTAATTCTCCCAAAATAAAAATCACTTTCATTAGAAGATTTACTACAATGAAAAGTGAATTTAATGTTCTATTAGCATCATTTAGGAGCTGCATTAAAATGTTTGATCAAGCTGAAAGAGTACTGAGCCAGTACTTATTTAAATTACTTAATTCTTTAATTTAGCTAACTTAGGATTGAAGTACAGCAAAATGAAGTTCTGAACATTTAAGCAATCTGTAGCATCTGCATCCACTTTCTACTGTTTTATTCTTAAACAAACCTCTGTGTCTTAGTACATCCATGAAGCAATACTTTCTATTAGAAATAAAAGCCTGATAACAGAAGGTCTTTTATACACCCTGGAATCAATGAAGAAAGCAACCAAGAAGTAAGGAGCAATCTATGAGGTTTGCTGCAGGAATTTGGTTCTGCTGTATCTCATGAGCAGTCTCCATGATTTAAGACTTGCTGGGAGTCTTGCCCTAGAGCTGACAGCTCACATTTTAAAGAAAATTTTCATCCTTTGAGCACATGAAGTTCATACCTGTGGGTTACTGAAAGGGAAGTCCAGTTCTTGTGACTGAGTGAGACAGCAATCAGAAGGAACTGAATCCACATTGTTCCAGTGTCATCAGTTAAAACTTGGTCAGATCTAGTTTTCACCTAGTCTTTTTTATCTTAAAAAGCAAATTATGACATGTCTATTGAAAAGGTCAAAGGAAGAACAAAAAGCTAGCCAGTGACAAATCCCTGAGAAAATAGAAGATTTTGCTTGAAGAGTCCCATTGCCCTGGCTTCTTGTCCTTTAGAAAACGGTTAAATAATTTATCTTATCCTATGCCAAACGTGATTTTAAAATTATTTTTAGCATATTTGATCACTTGTCTTTATGTAAGTTGAAGTCCTAGTCTTGTCTTCTTGCACTGAAACATTCCACTGGCTGTGACCTGTCCCATCCATGCATTTCCCCCATTTCAGAGTTACCAAGACAATTCTACTTGTACTGCAAAGTGCTACTGCACATGAAGCTGATCATCACAGAACTACCAAAAGTTTCCACAACATGTGCTTGGAATTAAATAGAAATTAAAGTTAGGTAACTTTGTATCAGAGTTACCAAAGTAAAGAGGGAGTCTTGTGCCAGTCACAGGGCACCTGCACTGCTTTACTGATGAGAACCTAAGTTATTGGAAGAAGTATAGAACAGCATTAGCAGTAGTAGTAATTTATTGTAAAAATAAAGGCCATATGCAAATCCTGGAGTACTGCCTTGAAATAACTCTGGTTTGCTTTTAAACCTGTCCCCAGCTAACAATTCAAGGACAAGCCCTAACAGATGAAGGAGAAACAGCAACGGAACTCGAGTTACAAATGAGGCACTTTCTGGTCAATATTGAGATCAGTTTTTCCTCTTCCCACTCCCATGGCAGCTCCTTCCCCATGTGGCTTCAGGGTGAACTGCACAGTCTGCTCACCCGTCTCTGCCTGACAGTGCTCAGGGCTCTCCTGTGCCTCTCCTGGGAGCCACCCTGTCAGCAAGCCTCACATTTGCTGCTTTTTGCTTTATTTACCCCCCAGACTTGTACTACTGCAAGCCCTCAGAGGCTACAACTGCTGCCAGAGCCTCCCAAGGTTTGCTCCCGGTGCTCCCCACTCCAAATGCAATCTCACACACAATCTGGTTTCTCACAGCAACTCCAAAATCCAGGAATCAATGCTGAAGAGCCCATGCACCTGCCCTGCAGGCCTCTGCTGTGAATTGTATGTCTCAGTTCAACATAAAAAAACACAACTTGCATAGAGAAACTAATTTCCAAAAGTATTACACGGAACCCAAGTATTAACCTTGGCTGTATAAATGAGGAGGTTACATATTAAACAGCTCTTCCAAGCTACTGAAACACACAGGCCTAACTGGGGTTTGGCAGGCCCACAAATATTCACTAATTCCAGCAAAATCAAAAAGCTTCACCACCTCCTTGCCCATTTAGCTACCCAAGTGCCTGAATATCAAGAGTGGATTTATCAACTTATAAGAAGATATGAGACATAAGACAGGGAGAGGAACTAGACATTACATCAAAGAGAAGCATTCTGAAAGCAGGTGACACCCTTTCTGCATTTAATATACTACATTCTGAGTAACAGCTAGGAGAGGGGAAGTGGAATAAAGAAAAAAGAACACAGATTATTTGCTATGACACCTTAAAAACCAGCCCATGCATTCCTTAGTCTATTGTCATTTTAGTCTATAGTTTATAAATTATAATACAAACATCTGCTATGACACCCAGCACCTTTAATTAAGAGCAGATCTCAAATCCCACAATCAGACTTGTGCTTTATAATTTTATGCCTGAATTACAAAAAGCAAGGTCCAGCCCTTTATTCCTCATTGGATGTTTCATAGCTAAGAAAACTGTTAAGATTATTTAGAATTTAAAATCATGAAATTATTGTAAGCAAACCAGACCTTTAACTACAATCCTGTTCTCAGTAACTTATGCTGCCTCACAATCTGTCTCTTTTTCAAATATGTCACATATGACACAAATGTGGTGCAGTTAAGACAGAGAAAGAGATTTCAGGTATTCTTGAGAAACTATGACACAGCTATTTTTATATCCTAAGCAAAAATATCTTAAATCAAAATAGTACAGTCCCTCCCTCCCCCCCAGTTCAATTAGTAAAATCCAGGAGAGGGTTACTAGCAGTTTCAAAATTGCCTAATTATCCAGTGCAATCCAATCTATGTCTTCAGAACAGTCTCTATGGTGGCAATAGTTCTTTTCTTCATTGGGGGATTAAATTGGTTCACGTGCTCTGAATAACCTAATCACTGCTGCCAATACAGTAACAAATGAAGGGAAAAACCTGCCTTATGAGCTAGAAAAATATTTACAGGCCACACTACTCCAGCAAGAAGCCTTCTAAAGCTATTTCACAGTATCAGGCAGGACATAAAGCAAAATCAAATATCTATACCTAAAATAAAAAGCCCACAACAACAATTAGGTTACTACAATACCTTTACTCAAGCCTGTGATGAAATTTTCAAGAAAGATGGCTTGGGGGGGAAAATGAAGTCCAAACACCTAATGCTAAAATACTGAGCAGATAAACAAAGAGCACGGGAGACATGCACAACACAGTGTAATCATTACCAAAAAAATAAGGCAGCAAAATCAGCCAGAAATATTAGATAATAAAAACTATCACATTAACGTAGTAAGTGCTAAAACATTTAAAACATACTCATTCTCTTCTGTTAATTAATTAAAGGTTTCCTTGTCTGCATTCTCCTATTTAACGAAGCAAACAGCAAAACAACCCTAAAATTTGCTGGCACTAGCTATCCAAACCCAAGATGAATTTTAATATTAAATACACAGATCTATTTGTAAAGCAGAAGCGAACTAGCACAGTTCATTCCGACAATATTAGAGACTAAGTAACCCTTAATTCAAAGCAAGTATTTCACAATTAAAACCAGCCATCTATGACAAGCCACTCAGCAGAATTCAACAAAAAGGCCTCAGAAAATGATGCTCCCAAATGGTTAGCCTTTACATCAGCAATCCTACAATAAACAGGCCCCGAGCACATACCGTCAGGGTTTTTGGGATACATTTCCTTCATTAATCTCCAATATTAGCAGCAGCAGCATCACTCACTCTTCCGTTCCTCTCCTCCTAAAATACATTCCCCAGGAGTCCTTTCAATGCAATTTTATCAGTATTTCCAGGAGGTCTCTCAGCCACATCCCTACGCACAGAGGCAGCAGGAATCTCTGCATTTGTAACAATCCATGGCTGCAAAGGAGGGTGGCAGGCACAGCGACTGTACCATAACCAAAATGCTGAGTTCTCTTCTCTCCTGCAGCACACGTACACACAGCCCGCGTCAGTGCCCGCCGCTCACAACAGCAACCACAATGATGACACAAAATCTACAGAAAAAGCATGCATTACTCACTGGGTTTTATTCTTTAGCCTCTTCAGCATGGAATTCTTTACAATGTAGTAGGTATGAAATGAAACATTTTCCCTTTATTCCACGGATGCCGCTGTGTGAATACCATTAGACACCAAGGACAATAGGCAGGATCAGCTCGAACATTAAGAGCAAATATTTAATGGAAGACTGGTTACCCCCGTCTCTCCCTTTCACATCTCTGCCTCATGTATCCAGGCACGGGTGGTACTGGCTCCCTTGAGAGGCTGTAGCTAGCAGCTGAGGCACAACTAAAACATGGCATGGATGTCAAGGAGCTGATGTCACCAAAACAAGTATTTCTCTGATAAAGCCAGCAATTCCGTTAGGGAAGTCCTACAAATCGATGGGAATTGTTCAGCTGGACGTGCTGTGTTACACAATGCACTGCAGCACCAAGAGTGATAAATCAGATCAAGATCTGTCAGGGTAAATAAGCTCAGACTCCAATAACTAAGTTATAAAGCTGCCAATCAGCTGCTGGGATCCACACACGCTGTCAGGAGCGCTGGCACCTCGAGGCACAGGAGAGAACACACCAAATGCCTCTGAAACAACCTTGTTTATTCCATTCTGAAAGAACTGCTCATCTACTGAAAAAGTAAAAGTGAAATGCAAGACTGGTCTAAAAGTCTGCCATCTTTATCAGGAAACACTGATGGAGCACCCAAGGCTCCAGTCCAGCAGATGCTGGGAACGCCCGGGAGGGGTCACATTCAGTGTCTGGGAAGGGATGGGAGATGCTTCAGCAACGCTGTCACCTCACAGCAGCACTGCCAGCACAGCCAGCTCAGGGACAGGGGCTGCTTGGAACCACAGCTGTGCACTTACACTGGGAGCTGGGGCTGCCTCCAACAACAAGCACAGAAATTCAGGAGCAAAGGAATACAGAGACAATACAAATGCAGATGCTGGAGACTGTGCAAATTCTGTCTCACAGACAGCACCACATCAGTATAAGAACAAAGGTTCTTCAAGCACAGAAATAACTTCCCTTAAGTCATGCAAATGGAATTGAAATATTAGGCATGTGGTTTATTTCATTAATGGATTACAGGCTTTTATTTCAAGCTTTGCTGGCTAGTACAATCTCAAAACCATATCAATTTAACAGAGGTGAGGATAGGGAGCAACTCTATCATTAAATTTCAACATAAATGCAAACCTTCCAGTCTGTATTCCTGCACTCTTCTTCCGAAGAATTATTGTTCTGCAGGAGCTGGAAAGAAAAACCCTACAATCCTACAGAAACAGAGATTTGCACTTCAGAAGACCACAAACTATTGGAAAGAGCCACTCCGTGACCTAACATGGAGACATCTGAGCAACAGATTGGAAATGCAATTATTTCACAATTGAATAGTTTTATTTAAAAACTCCATTTCAAACTGTCTGTAGTTCTGTAACAAACCAGCAATCCACACTTAGATCTGCTAATTTAAGTAGAAGCTCATTTTGGATAGACCAACTACTTCACTGCTTATTATTTGTCTCTGGAAAAAACCTGAGGCAAACTCATAAGCTCCTTTATAGTGCAAACATGATACTCCAGAAAACATATCCATGTATTACATAATATTCTCACTTTTAAAGGGATTTCCTATGAACATAACTACAGTGATAAAGACACAAAGTAAGAAATTGAGAGGATTAATATTTTCTGAAGCAAAGCAAATATTTCAGTCCTGACAAAATAAACAGTCCCTTAATAAATAAATAAACTGTATCACCAGCACCAGTAACATTTCCTTACAGTCCCAAGTGCAATGCAGATGTTTGCTGTGGGCCTTTAGCTAACAAGCAACAATACTCAATGTATTAGTCTATGCTAAATTATAATTTAAATACAATTTAATAGCTCTGTTGCAAAAAATATTTATACCTTGGCCACAAGGCCCAATTTCCATGCAGGCCCCACAGATGCAGAGGTAATGTGCATCAAATTAATTCATGAAACCATGAGAAACCTGACCAGAGATCCCTTATGAAGCACATCCAACTAAACAGGATTTTTAAACAATCTGAGTGTGATTCAACGTGACCTGTAAAGCCATAGAGGGAGAAATACCCTACAGACACAATAACCAGGTCAGCTGAGCCACACTCAGCTGTGCTTTCTGCAGCTCATCTCGTGGCTTGAGAGAACTAAAACTTCAAACAAATTAACACAAAAAACTTTTCTATTAGAATATCTACACCTTTAATGAGTTCATTAAATTAGGTGTCTCAGGGATAATTTCTTTAACTCTTCTAATCATAGTAGAAGAGCCTTTATCTGCTGTCCTTGCTCAGAAAATTAGAGGAATTAATGTTGTACATTTACTTTCTTTTCTTCCTTTCTAAAAGACAATTTTAATAACCTAGTCAACATGAAAACTTACCTGGTTTTTGCAGTTAACCTTTCATCTACTGTAGTTAGATGTACTACAATGTAGAAAATCATATTTGAACTATAACTTTTTGGTATTTATTTCACCTTTCTCCATCCTCACAGAAGTTCTCAATAGATAACTTATTAGCATAATTCCTCTGATTAAAAGCAGCACTCACAACTATTACCACAGCACTACTCATCTTGAGCCAGTCTGGCAGTGTAAATCCTGATCAACCAAGTACTTTTCTCCTAGTATGTATTACTTGCTCTTATCAGCAATTAGTTTTATCTCCTCTCATATTTCTCAAAGAGAAGAGCAAAGGTCCTTCAAATTCCTCAGTTAGCTTTTCTTGACACTCCTGTGAGCAGCCAAGCATCATCTGGTACCTTTGGCACCCAATTATTCCCATTCCTTTCCATAACATTTACCAAGATATGAAGTCCTGATGCCATCCCTCTGTAATGAGAACTGACTATACAGCTATTTAATCCTTTTATCCCTGTGCAGTTCAGGTTATTATAAATACAGGTAAACCATATCAATTATGTGTCCTTCCTCTGGAGGTTTATCTACCTCTCACAGGATTATTTTTATAGAGATTAATAACCTTTTTATAAAAATGGCCTATCTCCCTCTTGAGCACATAATTTCTTTTCCCTGAAAGTTAAAAAACCAAAAGAACCACAAAAAAAGCCAAGGCCTACATTCAAATAGGCATCTAAAATCCTGTTGTATCTTCCTTTGAAAGTATCAACACCAAAAACCAGCATTAATCCTCAAAAACAGTAAAACACTGCTACAACACTGATTTATGCAATGTGTCTGTTAACAAAATGTAAAACATTTTGCATTCTTTTAAGAAAACAAAACAGAAACACACGTATGTAGCACTAGATTATGAAAATCCTTTAATATATTTCTTTTCCATGTGACCAAAAAAGAAGTTTAGCTAGAATTGGAGAACATTTTAGTACTCACGATCTTCTCCTGGACAAGGCATGCCGGGTTTCTCTGGAGTACTTGGGAAAACTAAAACAAAAACATTAGATCTTTAAGGTAAAAGATTCTCAGTAGTATTTTTTTCCTTGATTCTTGAATGTATTTAACACAGACAGTTTTTGGAAGCCTTTAAATAATTCTACATGAGAAATGATGCAATCAAAATTTGGTTCTATATTGCCAGGAGCTTATACTGGAGTAAAGCATGAACAAATCTGTGCAGTGCTGAACTCAAAGCCTCCTGCACAGTTTCAGCTTTGAGCTGCAGTTCCTTCCTCAGCACCAAACTCCAGGGCAGCAGCTACACAAAGGGTATTTGACAGGCAAGGAGTCACTGCAGCCTCCCACTGGAGCAGCTCTGGGATTATCAGGCACACAGGGGCTCCTGAACTGTGCAATACTTGCCATGAATGATCAGCCCTTCGTCTCTGTTCTGACAATACAAACGGAATGCTTCCTCCAGCTCCATCTGGGATGAGATGGTACAGGGGTCACCTGACAAAAAAAGCAACACACAGGCAAATTTACCACTGAAGGATTTCAATTAGAAAAAATGTACCAGCTTCAGGTATTGCCTTTCTTTCAAACACTTGATATTAAGATGGCATTTTGATCAAAGCCAAAATGGAACAACACAATTATTCCTTCCAATTTCAAGAAAATTGAGTAGACAGAACTATCCTACAGGATAACAAGAAAATAAAAGTCAACAGTCAATAGGCCTAAAGATCTCCCCCATTTTCTTGATGTCTGCTTGCGGTCACATTATCAGCATTACCTTGGGAGGGTTATTTTTGTTAAAACTGGATAATTAATCCATAAATCCACTTAACCAGACACACGTGAAGTACAGTACATCACAATGCACTGACAGCAAGCAAAGAAGCAAGGGTGTCACTCTGAACCCCTGTCCCCTTGGGGAACAGACACCTTCCTGCAGCACACCTTGGGTGACAGGTGACCTGATGATATCCAGGCAAGTGATGACACCAGTGTCAAGCCACATTTAAACTTTAATTTCTTATTTTTAAAAAATGTTCTTATTTTGTAAAATTATGAATCCAGGGCCCAGCTACCTCTCTTTGAAGGCTACTGCTGTTGATGATCTGTAAATGCAGTAATAATGCAACATGAAAGACAAAAGAATTATTTGTACTGCAAATCAACAATCCATATTCCTTATATGTTCACAAGATTTTCTCATGAGTGAGCTATTCATAGCTCAAACCTTTTGGATCTTGTCAAAAACAAAGAAACACTATAAAAGCCCAACAGAAAATCTATTTTCTTCATCTCTTGGTAGGTTTTGTTTATTCATTAAGCCATCGGCAATTGTTTGCTTTTAGTTAGTTCAAAGAGAACATCTGTTTGTGCAATCAGTCAAATGAAGTTAAATTCCATGTGGCAATAAGTGGAAACACTCACATGCAGAAATAGGATAACTCACAAAACCCAGGAGGATCAATAACAGCCAACACAGCAGATTGGCTGAAAGTGAACCACTCAGACCCAGGAACCAGAAAAAGGTTGTACAGGTATTCAACCAAGACTAGAGGAAAATACTTACTAGAACAGAGACTAAATAAATTCTTGTTAATTTAAGTAAACTTCAAAAAGCCAATGCAACAGAGAGTCCAACAAAGAACACTTAACAGAACTCATGTCTTAGAATCCTCCAACTCAAAACTCAGGGGGTTTTCTTCTTCCCTGCAATAATCTTCCTTTATTAGCAGGCATGCAGTTCAACCAGCTAAGCACAGGCAATGTAATTATCTGCCATGTCCTTCTGATCAGGTTACTTCTTATTACACCATCATTAAACTGAGGTTGCACAGTTGCCTCTGTCCTTCTTGGTATTCAAAATATAAAAAAGTAAAATTTAGAAGTATTAATACTTGTCCTTGGTGTCTTAAAAAGGGCTGAGTTGTCTTTGACTACCAGCTACCTCCTTCCAAGGTCAGTACTTTGAAATTCCATTTACTCAAACAACTCTATCAGCTAAGAGAGCTATTTAAAAAACCAAAACACACCATTAAAACTATTAGCCAATCCAGTCTGGTATTTTTCCACCTTTCTGTATTCAGTTCTAGCTCTGCAGGCCCTGACTTTGACAAGGTGCTTCAGCAGAAGTGAATTCAGGTGCTACTACAATCAACCCTGAGGTCTTAAGTCTCATTTCTCCAAGCCTCCTGCTCTGTGACAGGGTTCTGTATTTAGGTATTTAGAAACAAAAAAACTCCACAGCATATTTGTTCATACAAGTTCCTCAATGCCCCTCCTCTGTACCACAGTGAACAACAAACCCTGAGAAGTATTTCAGTCCAATACCTTCATCATCAATCCACTTGAGGGTAATTGGATGTTCCTGTTCCAAGTTACACATCTCGTGCACTTCATCACAGAGTTCAGCATAGCTCATGGATGCATCCAAGTTTGTTATCAGGATGTCCCTGCAGAAGATGAAAACATCAGCTTTTATCAGAAAATACCTGCATATTCCAACAGTTCCACCTATGGACAGCAAGCTGCAGAATCATACAGCATGAGCATTCCTCATAGAAAACATTCCCACTGTGCCAGCAGGATTACACCTCACAGTGCTTAACTTAAAAATACTGCAGGAAATAAATGTGTTAATTATCTGTCTTTAATGCATGTTTACTCGGGTGAGCCAAGCTCCCTTATTATAATTATCAGCGCTTGAAGTGTTGTTAAAAAACAAACCAGAAGCTTTCATTTTAATAATCCAGGTGCTTCTTCCATCAGGAGATTTAAAAAATCTCAATTATTGTAAAATCCTTTAAAACAGAGGCTTTACCTTACATCCACTATATTGTCTGAGATGAAGCTTTGATTAGGTGAATTCTCAAAACATGTAATTACAGGAAAATTCAGGTAAAATCTTACTCAGCTTCTGCATCTTTCACTCCACCTTTGTAGTGTTTAGAGAACATGACCCAATACTGAACTCTCTATGTAAATTATACATTATCTCAGGAATTTGTGACAATAACTTTTGATATAATGGAAGTCCACAAGTCCTGTCAAAGCAGGTCAAATACTGAAAAAGGAAAAAAAGATTACACAAAACAAAATCTGATTATACAAACAAGACTTTCTACTACTTTTAAAATATTTTCCAAATAACTGACTCTGGGAAATCAATTCATAAAGAAGTGAAAAAAGAAACAGGAGATGAACTTAAATCACTCCATTGCCTTCAAAATCTTCCAGAGGAAAATTAGGAAACTGTTGTTAGCTAATGGCTACTGGCATGGGTAATTCTTTCCCCTCTTAGTGCAATACAGCAAATATACCAGAAGTTGTCCAGCATGACTGAGATGATTTTCCTATTTCCATACTATGTGACAAGTCATTTTAGAAAAAATGTTATACAACATACTCTGCCTACTTATGTCTTTCAGCCAGCAGTTGAACAGTACTACACTGAAATAAGAAACTTAAACTCCACAACTTACATTTTAAATGATATGCATTAATAGCTTGCCATTTTGCCTTTGCTGAGAAAAATTACTATAAGCAAAGCTCTAAAACAATCATCTTAAAGAACTGGACTGTTTCAAATTCAGATTAAAGCGCTGCAACCTTTTCAAGTGTATCTTTAATCTATACTTTGTAGCGCTCTCAAAGAGCAGCAACTTAATAATTCTTCATAACAGCAACAGCAAAAGAAATACATATGCTGCCTGCCAACCTGTACATCCATATCATCCACTACACTGAGAGCTGTCAGGTGAGGTTGAGTTTAAGAACATTTCCCTGTCAAAGAAGTCATGTTTTATGCATTTATGAAAGTAAGAGACCAAACTGGCTCTCACAGCCGTGTCTGAGGGCTGGTGCAATGCCTTGCCCCAAGACAAGGACACCAACAAATGCAGCTCATTATTTAATGCACTGCCACCACGAGCCACTCGTGAAATCAGGCAGTGTAGATCTGTGGTAACCATGGACAATCACACCTGCACACGTATCTAAATAATATTCAAAAACGGAAAAGACACTGTAAGACAACACTACTACACACACTGTAAACTCCAAATGAAACTGGCAACTACTAATCAGCCTTGAATTGTCAAAATTATTATTACAGATGTCATTCTATAAGTAAACTAATGAATTTCATACCCATGATGTCCACGTTCCTTTGAGATTTACTGTATTTAATCTACAGCCACATCAGGCAATCAGGGCACAGGGAAGTGAAAACCATTCCTTGTTTATCACCAAACAATCCCATGGGACACTTAAAAAAAATTGAAACTGGACACTACACAGTAATACAAAAAGCTAATGATCAGTAAGTTCTGTACGAGCAGTTACAGCAAGAGAAATAATTCCAGTGAGAGTTCAAACATGTCATTGCTCAGAGCCAAGGTAACACACAAAACAAATGCACCACTGCTCTGTGCAGTGATTTCAAGTAACCAGGTACAAACTAGAGAGGCAAGTCGTGTAATTCTTGGTTCATTATTGCAGTTACTTAGTTTTTCTTTTGTAATCTACTCTGGCAGTGATTTCTAGTGTGCTATGTTAGGAACTCTGTCACACCCAGAAACAGGAATACCTGAGATACTCAGCCTCCAGAGATACACTCAACACTCACATGTTTTGAACTTCCTCCTGCTCAGATTTCTAACATGGATTATTTTAATTTCAGCAGTTAGTGCCTAATTCTGAAGTTGCCCAGCATCAGTGATTTCCTGAAGTCTTGTTCAAAAGCTGAGTGCAGTACTGCAATGGAGATACTGAGATGATCAGTAGAGGCTACAATGTCAGTTTTATCTCACACAATTTGATCAGCAGAACAAAACAAAACAAAACTCATAGAGCTTGGAACTCTTGTTTGTAAACTGCTTTCTACAGACTTCACAGCTCATGCAAAAGACTGAATGTAGTGCTGCAGGAAAAACTACAGCAGTTTATTGTAAAA